GCGGCCTTCTTTGGGCTCTCGCTTGTTATACTTCAGCCTTTAATTWCATGATTATATGAGCTTCTTTTCTCCATTAATCCCACCGCCTCACTGGGTCATCACCATCATCCTTAAATACAACAGACACCTATGGGCATCTTGGACCACGTGCATTTATTGTTCTGCCGTGCCACACCGCTCTGCAGGGTGGCATTTGACAAAACAGAATTTGCAACGTGGAAAATTCTCAGGCTTATTTACTGAAAAGCACTTTTGTAGAGCTGACGCTTCCATTATGAATTTATGAATAACAGCAGCAAACATAGAAACTTATCTAAATGAAGCAGGCTTTAGAGGAGATGGCAGGACAGCAAATGTCATGACACAGCACTATTGCTCCCCTACCTTGCAATTCAGTTATTCCCCACCCGGCAGAGAGGAACCTGTTTAAGTGAAGAACAGCACAGGGAATTTCCCCAAGCCATCACAGTCAGTGTAGGTTATTTTTACCGCATCATTCATAAAAGGAATTATAAAAATGATTTTAAGAACTAATAATCTAGGGACATTTTTTTTTTCTGTCAGATAAAACTTTCTTTGATGTCTCAGTGCATAGTTTGGAGCCTTATACATGAATTATGTAATAGATCTGCAAATGCATAAGATTATGAGTCTCTTCAGCTAAGCTTAGCTAAAAAAATGTTGCAAACTATTTCCACACCCATTAATTAGCTAGTTCTTTCAGAAAGAAAAAAAGAAGCAGAATAAGCATAAAAGCATAAAAAATGAACATTACTATGCTAATCCTGCCATTGATATTGGCATACATCTCTTAAAATTTCTCTTTCATTTTTGTTTCTCGCCACATTTTGTAATTAGTCAATATTTGTAAATTCATGAATAATTGTTTAATCAAATGCTTTGCATTAAGCTCTTTGAACATGTAAGCACTTATAGCCAAACATTATCACTGACTTCATAAAATAATACTTTGTAGCTACAGACATGTACAATTTTCAAAGGCTTGTTAAATTATTAATTTACTGACATCCTCCTTAAACCAACTTGCAGTGGACTGGTAAACATCACAGCTATTACAAATAGGAAAAMCAACAACCACTAATCAAGAGCTAAAATGCTTTTCAGATATTGCTTTATCAATCAGTTGTCATTCTCATTTTTAAATTCTGTCTGCAAAATTTTACTGCTGTTTTGTAGAGAAATATATACTACAAGCAGGCTTATTGAAGGACTGGGTACCACAAGCACATGCAAGCAAGTATTTTCACATGATTGCAGGGCAGGGCTTAAGACCCCCAAATCTGCCTGGGATTTCCTTGTCAAAAGTGCACTTAGTTGTATGCACATGTGCAAAGAGGCTAGTGCAGGCAGATGCCCCACGGCCAGCTCACACATCCCCTGCCAARAAATATGTCTTGTCCCAAGCACAGTGCGTTGAGCATGGGGGCAGATATCTCTGGGGCAGGCAAGGATGATCAGGGGCCTGGAACATCTGCCCTGTGAGGAAAGGCTGAGAGASCTGGGCYTGTTCAGCCTGGAAAAGAGAAGGCTGAGGGGGGACCTGATCAGTGTCTATAAATACCTCAAGGGAGGGAATGAGGAGGAGGGGGCCGGCCTCTTTTCAGTGGTGGCCACTGACAGAACTACAGGAAATGGCCACAAACTGAAGCACCAAAAGCTCCACAGGAACTTAAGGAAAAATTTATTGACAGTGCGGGTGACAGAGCCCTGGCACAGGCTGCCCAGAGAGGTTGTGGAGTCTTCTTCTCCGGAGATCTTCAAAACCTACTTGGAYGCAGCCCTGTGCCACATGCTCTAGGTGATCCTGGGTGTGCAGAGGGGTGAATTAGATGATTTCTAAAGGTCTCTTCCAACCTTAAGGATTCTATGATTCTATGACCTTGTGTTCATGTGCTGCATCATTTCACACTATGGGAGAACCATCTGTGATGGCTCTGGCTGAGCCAGAGGAAGATTGCAGAGGGGGAAAAGAAGTCTGAGGCGCTTCGAGTCACATGTGGAACAAATCGCCAGCTAGGAAGAAACCCAGACTTACAGCAGCTCTACCAAGGGGCAGAGGTGGCTCTAGGGATAGGCAAGGCGGGAGATTACAGAAGGGATGGAGCCACACGGAGCAGCTACACTGTGAAGAAGTGAACTGCCTTGCTGGGCATGCAGCAATCAGAACCATGACAGTCTGCCACTGCAGCAAGGAAATTACCATGGTTTTGGTATCTTGAAACACTCAGGGAGAACAAAGTCTAGAAAGATATTGCTAAAATTTTTAGAAATTAATTTATTTTTCCCCATTCCATTTTTGCTGACATTGTGGAAATGTTTGGACCACACACGTCTATCTTAAGGTTTCAAACTGACTAGCTTAAGGCTGACTAGTTAATTTGGCCCCGCAGTGGATTAGAAGCTCTGGTCTGATCTGCTTGGCTATTATGGRGACAGTGATCTTAGCCAAGAGTCAGCACCTAGAAGAAGTAAGAAATCACAAAATTGTGGAACAGTTTATTCAATGATCACCTAAATGCGGGCTAAGATATCTTAGTCCTGGAAATTTTAGTCTGAATTGTCTTGTTAGAAATCTAGCAAATATTTGGCAATATAGAAATTATAATATATGCTAATGAAGTAGAAACATAATAGAGGTGGGAGAGCACACAATGAGCCCCATTCTGTTCACCAGTTCYGACAAATGATCCTTGAGGTATCTTTATGGATCCTTTTTCATAGAATCATAGAATCATAAAATGCTTAAGGTTGGAAGGGACCTCAGAGGTCATYRAGTCCAACCCCCCTGCTCACGCAGGGTCACCTAGAGCACGGGGCACAGGGCTGCATCCAAGCGGGTTTTAAAGATCTCCAAAGAAGGAGACTCCACAACCTCTCTGGGCAGCCTGTTYCAGGGCTCTGTCACCCTCACTGTCAAATTGTGTTTTGACTCACAATATTGTGTACTAGTGTGCTTGGGTCTCATAAGTAGCCTGAGATAATGTAAAAGTGATGCTCACCTAGAGCAGAAGTGGAAAATATCAGGAAAAGATAATCCCAATGTGAAAGAAACTCCTAATTCATCTCCAATCTTTATACTTTGAGGATAAATGACCACATCAAGGAAACAAACCCCTGCATATTACTTTTTTTACCACTGGCATAATTCCTTTATCACACCAGAATAAAGGTCATCCCCCTAAAAACAGATTTTAATTGTACTTTCTCATAGCTAAAAATATCAAGGAACACTCTCCTGAACAGCCATCATTTTGTTTCTTCCCAAAATATTCACTAATGATAAAGTAACCAATGCCTAAATCATAGTTGATCAGTGCAGACAATAATCTCTCTTTTCAGCAATGCAAGACTTGATCCTTTCATTCTTTGTGCTGCTACACGCCAATTAGGAGTGACACACATCTGTTTTCCTCTCTCTACGAGACATGCACCACATTTTCCCAGCGATTCCGTTTTGCTGCCTATTATGTCAGTCAACTGCTAATGCCAGAGTCTGAATAATCAGATTAGAAGTACCTCTGATGCCTAGTGCCCTTTTCTTCTTTTTGATGCTGTTCCATTTCTGTTCAGAGCAGTAAAAGGCCAGGATACATGATATCCTGTTTGATCATTTCAGCAGGTACTGAAATGATTTTTTTTCCCATCATCTCTGTGGATAATTCTTTAAAGAATCTTTTGAACTGCATGTTTCAGTTTACACTCTTTATAAAATTATACCAACGAGCCTGATTTCATTCAAAATGATTTTTTTTTCCTTTAAGAAGTATTATCATAAAATAAAGTACTATCAAGAAGTATTATCATAAAATATTTTTAATCTCCAGGGAACATTTCAACAGGTTTTACGTGAGGTATTTATAATAAAGCTGTCTGTGAAAATAAGGATTGCTAGACTCAGACCATTTTTGAAGAGACTAACACAAACCAGAATAAAAGCTCAATTTCAGTATGAATCAGCTGAAATGCCAAGGCAGTCCCACAAAGCTTGGGCATCTGATCTTCCTTCTGGTGGAGATATAATTTTAGACTGATGTGTCAAATGAGTGCTTTGAAGTGAGTTATATCCTGTGTGAGAAAAGCTAGATAACTTGTAATAAACTGTGTGAGTGTAAAAAACATAGAGTAAAATAGGAAAACTACAGTTGAAACCAGTGGATCACGATTTCATATTTTAGTCTCACAAAAGTGGTATTAAGAATAAAGATGCTGACTAAAAAGAAAAAAAAGAGAAAAAAAAAAAAAAAAACAAAGAAAAAGAGCAGCTCTGGCAGAGAGTCCCTTTGAAAGCACTCCCACACAACACTGCAGTGCAATTTAATCCTGATGAGAATGTCAGCTGTGACACACTTTGCATCCATGGATGAAGCTAGGGATGGATCCTGGCCTGATGTAAATCAGCACGGCCCTGCTGCCTTCAGAGAAACTATTCCAATATGATTTACACAATCCCCTCATGTTTGTCACATAATAAGAATTTTACCGCCAGGTTTATAAAGGAATTCTAGGACAGCTTAGCTCTAGCAGCGGCTTAAAAGCCAGGTGCTATGGTAGTAAGTACTTGTTCACTTTCCCATTTTATGGCTCCAGATTCRTTTACAGAAGCAAAACATATCCTATTCACTTATATCTCAGGCCATTTAATTTGATGATCTTAAATGCCACGCAGTGTCAAACACTACAAAACAGACTTTCCACGGTTCCTCTTGGAGCACGCAGTATGATTCTGACATAATGATCACTCGAAATCCTAGCTTCAGAAAGGCCAGTTTCTGCAAAGCGATGAAGAGCACATGTGCACCAAAGAAGCCAGTTCAAAGAACTGTTCTAATTGTACAAGGTCCAAATTTTCTCTATATTTAATACCACTTGTGAACAGAGGTCAGAAGTAGGATCTCAACCCACTGTCTCCTGGTAAGGCAGAGATGTAGTAAAGAAACACACAGTTCCAAAAGGGAGACTTCTGCCTTACTGTTACTTACCAGATATCTCCTCTAGGCACTGCTTGGCAGTCTTACTGAACGACAAATCCATTTTAGTAGGACTGGTGCAGGAGTCAGCAGGTGGTAAAGAGGTACTGTCATTTTCCGAGAGAGTTCTGAAATCAAGCAAGAACATTGACTATTATTATCTGTCATACATATATTAAGGCAAATACATGTTAACTGAGGCTCCAAGAAGCTTCCTGTCTCTGTTCTCATCTCAGAAAAAGCCATATAGTGACTATACCATGAAGGTCACATTGTTACTGTGTTAGTTTGACTCCAGCTACACATACTTGCAGGGAATTTGCTCTCTTTAGGAACAACTCAGAATTTAAGCTGGGAAACTTGGAGCAATGTCTCTTTTTCTCTGTGGAGATGTCAACAAAATACAGGCCAAATCCATTTAAGTTGGTTAAATCACATCCCTGTATGTATATAAGGGAAATGAAAACTAGCAATTGATTGCTGAAATATTAAGTGAGAAAGGCCACATGTAAAGAAGCTTATGCAAAGCTGCAATGAAAATCTTACTCAGACACTTAAATCTATGTGCAGCTTCTTTTGATAATGCTCTATACATGATGTGTATATGACTGTGTGGGGGGGATAATCATGGGATAATGAAAGTGTTCCCATTAACTTGATAACAAATAGCCTAATTTTTCTGTGATAGTATATTTGTATGGATGCCATTGAGAAATTATCATGTGCATGGTTTGTGCACTACAGTTATTTGGTATATTATAATGTTAAAAAGAAATACTTTACCATACAAAGAGGTAACACAATTATTGTCTCTTCCTAAGGAAGAGATGAAGATCATGGGGGCTGCTGAACAACAATGACATTAAATAGCAACTTGCTCCTCATTTCTCACATTAAAAAAAATAACTAAAAATTAGTGTAAGAATTTGAAATGCTAGACACCTTTCAAACTAAAATGGAAAAAAAATCCTCACTTASAGCTTAAGTTCTTTGGGCTTTACTAACATGAATAACACATTCAGACCTTTCGAATTCTTATAAAGACCACTGAAATATTTTATGACTGTTTTAAAAACATTACATTTATATCTCAACTCTTAAAGCTCGCCATAACATTTGTAATGACCAACTAACAAGGGAGTATTTAGCGTTGTGCCAAACATGTATTTTATAAGAATAACAGATAAAAACAGTATCTTTGCTCTAAAATGAATTTTACAGAAACTTAGTTTATGAAATAACTTTCCCATTGTTATGTTTACTGAAAGGTTACTTATAGATTTGTTCAGTAAGTTGTGGCAGTGCCTTGGAGAACAGAGAGAACCCTATATAAAGGACCAAATATTGTTGTGGAGGAATCTGTTGATCTGAATTTTAGTTTAGGTTTAACCCTGACTGTTCTTAAACAGAACACAAGGACTATCCGATGCATTTTCTTCCTTATCAATTTCTGTACTCTTGAGATGCTGGAAACAGACAGCTGCTCTACTAAAAAGAAAACAGAAATGGGCTCCTCGTCGACTATTATCCTCTGCCACACACCATTAGACTGAAAATACAAGTAGCATTTGTGCTGCAAGCACCARTGCTCTGTCCTGCTATGACCTTCAGCGTCGTTCTTCACTTGGCGTTCCAGGAGAGCGGCCTGGGTARCAAGGGCTCACTCGAGTCCTCCCTGATGAGCACACACATGCAAATTCCAAATTTGCTTTCACAYACTGCTTCAAATCACCCAAATGTACAAGGGACATAGCTACTTACATTGAATGTAACTTCAAGAGGCCACACACACAAGCACTTCGTGCTGCACTTAGTTGGAAAACTTAGTGCTGGATCAGCCCAGGACAAACTGTCARCCTAAAATGATATCCTACAGGCATGCACTAATTATTAGCCAGCAAGGAATATTATTAGCCAGCAGGGGAATTAAGTGGTCTTCACACTCCTAACTGAGCTCAAGCCACCGAGCTACCAGGGCTGGAGCCATGGGAAGACTGGAAAATCTAACCGGAGAACTGGGAAAGGGTAGGCAATGCCARTCTTGTCGTAAGAGCACTTGGCCAGGTGGGTAGAGCTCAAGCATTCATTGCTGCAGCTTGAGATATACATGGAGTTTACACCACAGCAGATGCAGAAATGGAAAGGGAACCTTTTTGCTTGCTCTTTKCCTGACCCTGCTCTGTATTCCTGGCTGTGAAACTGTTCAGACAGAAAGGTGGATGCAAGCTCTTCCAAGAATAATCAAAAACCTCGTAAGTAAGCATATTACCTTCCAAAAAAGAGATCCATTCCTATTTATTTGGACATCTATCATCAGAGAGGGATTAAGTGGTCTGGATCCCAGCTGACAGCCAACACCCAACATCTGCACTGTTGTGCTCATTATAGGAGCAGTGAGTACACGTGGAAAAGGTTGTACTTATTATATGGCAAATGGAAAGGCAAACAGTCCGTGGATGATTTCAGTTGCCCTCTTGTCATTGTCTACAYAATCCATAAAGAAAGGCAAATATCTAATTCTCCAATGACTATGTGGGCAYGTAGGTGCTTTCTTTAAAAGGTCCGGATTCCCTCATAAGAACAAGAGTACAAAGGAGTAAGGAGTTAAGTAAAATTACAAATGATGGGCAGATCTGTTTACTTAGCGTAACCATGAACACGGACTTTCACTTGCTCACATCAAACAAAACCTTTCAGAGAGAAGGCAAAGACCAATTACAGCCCTGGTTTGGTACTAAGCTTTGTCTCATTTTCAAAAGCTTGGTGCTGCTATAGGCAGGAATGGAAGTAGATAAAGCACCTAAGCACAGGCACTTGTAAAGATTTCCATTCTAATTTGTAAACGTGATGGTTGTGGTTAATTGCAGCACAAAATCCAGTTTCCGCAGCATAAGATAACACTGGAATCTAAACCCTGAAGAGTAAATACTAAATAATAATGATCATGTAATGCTAATGATTTGAAAATGTTTGATTTCATTATTGGAAATAAAAACTTTGAAATCTAAAACAAATGTAAATGTGGTATTTTTCTTAAATGTTTTCTTAAATTTGTTGGCAGTCTGAAATAGCAGATCTAAGAATGTGCAACATCTCTTTTATCTTACTTCAAAGTGTACAGACAGCATCAAATAAATTTGATTTGTTATCAAAACACAAAGTCTTGCTCTACTGACTTTATTCAGCAATTTTATGTTGAATTTGGGGAAAACATCCATGATTTCAGCTGTTGGAGGTGACAACAGAAAATCCTAAGAATATTATGGACCAGCAGCATGAGCCCTGACTACAGTGGAGCAGTTGAGAGCATGGTTGTTTGCTCTGGAAGTGATGGGCCAAAAGGCACTTGCTGTAGAGCAGGGAGGAAGCTGAGTGTGGCCTCACCAGCAGAAGGCCCCACCAGCCCTTGTGCAGTCTTCCTGGAGGTACCCTCAGGAATCACAGAATCACRGGATAATTATGGTTGGAAAAGACCTTCRAGATCAAGTCCAACCACAAGCCCTTCAACACCCTGACTGTTAAACTATGCCCCTAAATGCCTTCTCTACACGTTTCTTGAACACTGCCAGGAACGGTGACACCACCACTTCAGTGCTTGTTTCAATGTCTCAATGCTGGACTGCTCTTTCCATGTAGAAATKTTTCCTAATATCCAACCAGAATCTCCCCTGGCCCAATTTGAGGCCACTTCCTCTTGTTCTATTGGTAGTTATTCTAGAGAAGAGAGCGACCTCCACCTCACTACAAGCTCCTTTCAGGTAGTTGTAGGGAGCGATACTCAGTCTCCCCTGAGTGTCCTCTTCTTCTAAACAACCCCAGCTCCCTCAGCCACTCCTCACAGCCCCTTCCARCTCCAGCCCCTTCACCAGCTTCGTTGCTCATCTTTGGACCCGCTCCAGCACCTCAATGTCCTTCTCGTTGTGRGAGGCCCCAAACTGAACACAATACTCAAAGTTTGACCTCACCAGCGCCAAGTACAGAGGAACGATCCCTTCCCTGATCCTGCTGGCTACACTGCCTCTGACACAAGCCAGGAGGCCATTGGCCTTCTTGGCCACCTGGGCCCACTGCTGGCTCACATTCAGCCAACTGTCGACCAACAYCCCCAGATCCTTTTCTGCCAGGTGGCTCTCCAGCTACTCTGCCCCAAGTCTGCAGTGTTGCATGGCGTTGTTGTGACCAAAGGAGGGCCCTGGCGATGGGCCCTCACCAAGTGTCCCTCTCCTACCACGTCTCCAGGGTGCTGCCTGTGGCCAGCACTTTCACAGAAGTTCTCTTCCTCAGTGTCTGGAGGTCAAGGTCCTGCTCTTTTTTCCCCTAGATGTCTATCTTAGCCGGCATGGGCTGGGAATGGTCTACAAATAAAGTATCTCCATGCATTAGAAACATGTAGATGAGGCACTTAGGGACAGGCAAACCAACAGGCATGGTGCTGAAAGGCTTACTGTTGGACTCAATGATCTTGAAGGTCTTTTCCAACCATAATTATTCTATGATTCTATGATTCTATGGAGGTGCCCCAGCTCCTGGTTCAAGGAGAACCTGATATAGATTGGACGCCTAAAACACAAGGCTACTTTGTGCTAAGCCTGTCACAGGAMATGACCCACTGGATTAAGCAGGCAGATGCCTTGCTGCTTAGCTAAATCGTTTTAGCTCRAGAAAAGAGGAAAGTGATATTGTGAGATTTGTCTTACCCAACATATATAYCCAGCTTTCACCTTTTTTTTTTTTTCCTTTTTTTTTCTGTGGCATGTATTAATCCTATAAAGGAGTCAAGTGATCTCTCCAGGACTAAGGCACAGACTAAGCTCCAGGCAAGGACACAGAAAATTAAGGGATTTTCTCATTACCCTTACATATTGGCCTTAATGAATGGCCCTCTGTCCATTCATAAGCCACTGCCTCTAAAAGCAATTAAAATCCTTGCATCTCCCTCTCGAGATGAAGGAGAGTGAAGAGAGTCTCAGCGTAGTCAAAGCTCCCCTGTGGGTACTTCTAACAGTGCTGTGCATCTGCAGTGCCGGCTAATTTAAGCAAATAGCATGAAAACAGGACAATCTGCTTTCTATATTAATCACAGCAATCAGAGAATACATACATCCCCAGCTCAACGAGTTATATACCA